TGTTGGGGTGGCCAAGGCTCTGTGTGGAAATTCTTCTCTTCCTGTGTCTGTATTCAAAGCCCATGTAAGCCTCCTGTTTGGCTCCTCAACTATGGTGGTTTAAATTCTGGTCTTAGCCTGAGGCCTAAGCGACCACGATTCTTTTCCTGTCCTTCCTCTCTGTGTCTTGCTATTAAGATGGAGGAAACTATTTCCACTTCTCTCTCAGGGCTCTGAAACCCTGTCATGGAGAACATTCCGACACCTCAAGCTCCCATTTGGTGGGCAAACTGTTTGCTAATAAACCAAGGCAGGACCCTGATGTCAAAATGCTTAAGTCGGTGAATCAGCTGGGACCCCTTTCTGTGGCTGACATGCCTTTTCCATCTCCCTGCCTCCTCCAGAACATAAACCTGAACCAGGAGGTGGTTCAGCGTGAACTCTTATAAATTGAAGTGGCTGTCTAGGGACAGGGGAAACAGACACTTCTTCCTTTAACCTTTGAAGACCAACAACCATCTGGCCCGAAAAAAAATCCACAGTGGGTTGAACCCAGGGTGTGAAAGCTGGCCAGTGTATTAAATGTGAATCCGAAACCATGACTTCTCCCCACGCCGACTCCATAAAACAGCCTCCTTTTTCATAAAGCATGCCTATAAACCACTGCCAGCGAGGCAGAAAGACCGCTCAGGACCCCAGCTCTCTTTCTGTCTGGGGCTGTCAACAAACCCTCTTTATGAGTGGAATAGACCTCATATGCATCCAGCTTCTAGCTTCTCTCCCTCTCTCTCTCTCTCTCTTCCTCCCTTCCTCCCCCCTTTCTGCAAAGTGTGTGAGGATCCAGGCTGGGCAAGCGTCAGGCGCTGTTTGCTGAACGCATTTATTGCCTTTGCATAATTTATGAGCTGGAGGGGTTGACCGCCATCGCTCTCTGCCAGGGGCTGGCACTGGAGGCTCCAGAGAGTGGAGCTGTAAATTGGATGGTGAGCTCCTGCTGAGCTCACGGCAAAGTCCCTGGGTCAGTATGGGAATTTAATACCAGAAATGGAACTGTTTTCTCAGCACACCATGTGGGCCCCTGGTGCCACAGACAGTGTTTTGGCAGACTCAGGCTGGCCTTGTGAGGGGCCTGTCACTCACGAGTGTGGCGCGTGGGGAGCCCCAGCATTTGTAATCAGCTTGGCATCCGTGTGACTTCCATAATGGATACCAGTAGGTCTCAGTTCTTCGCCATATGCTTAACTCTGGAGGCAAGGTGCTTCTGGGCATATCAGTAATTACTTGATACGGAATTAAGTGGACCTTGAAATTAGAACTGGACTCTCTGAAAGCAGGGAAGCTTTGATAGGAATACCATTCCCAGAGACTTACCGCTGTTTGGATGGGGGTGGGAGAGAGAGCTTTCCCCACTTTCCCCGATTCTTCTTCTGAGCGTAGACCCTGGAGGGTGGAGGAAAATGTGTCGCTCTAGCCTCCACTGTCATAACCCTCATATGGAGAGCTGTGAAACATCTGGGAAAGAGCAAGCATGACAGAAGGCACCACTCCGGGCTGGGGATGTAGCTCGGTGGTACAGAGAGTTTCCTGCCATACACAAGGCCCTGGGTTTACGTCCCCCAGCAACTAAAGTTAAAAAAAAAATGAAAGAATCCTCTCCTCCCCACCCCTTCTCAACCAGGCCCTGTCAGTCTTAAAAATGCCCTTGAGACTTTAGTACCACAAATGGTAAAAAGCAACAGAGAGGTTGCACCCTCAGGAGGCATAGCCACCTCCCCCCATCCCCATCCACCCATGGTTCTAGATCTTCAGGGTCTTCATCTCACCCACTTCCCTCTCCACTCAGCTCCTCCGATGGGATAGAGAAACCAGTCCTTGATCGGGCAAAAGAATGTAAATTCAGACACAACTGCTGCTGGAAGTCTGGATGAAAATGATGCTCTTGGACTTGATGAAAGTGTCTGATAACCCTGAATCACTGAGAAGGCAGAGGGAGAAGCAGATGCTACAGTCTTCACAGTTGTCACCCCAGGGCTGGGGAAGTAGAGGTAGGAGGACCAGGAATTCAGGGTCCTCCTTGGTCACGTGACAGATTCATGGCCAGTCCTGGAATACGAGTAACATTGACTCGAAAACAAACAAACAAGTAAACAGAAGTCAGTGTAAGTTCCTCAGTGCTCACAGTATTGAGGCAGTGGTCTCCACGTACGACCGTTTGGATGGAGATTTTTATTAGTATCTCTTGGTAGCACTAAGGGTAGTTTGAACAATAATAGTTTTCTTAACAAAAGCATGAATCCATTCTAACATGGGTTCAGTGCCTCGATGACGTCAGACTTCTCTTCCTTTGGCCTCTCCATCTTGTTTCGGCACGGAGACTTTGGGGGTTATTTAAGCCACACTTTTGCACAGTGACTGCTATAGATGCCCATATCACATCCTTACCTGTGCAGACTTGAAGGCAAGAGCAGGAGCTGCCTACCTTCCACTGAGACTTTTAGAATATTCTTTAGTATTTGTGTGTGTGTGTGTCTGTGTGTGTGTGTGTGTGTGTGTGTGTGTGTGTGTGTGTGTGTTCCTCACCTTCTACCCTGGGATCTGGTGATTAAACTCAGGTCATAAGGCTTGTGCAGCAAGTTCTTTTACTCCCTGAGTCATCTTGTAGGTCCAAGGTTCTTCCTCTGCTCCTTCTTTCCCTACCTCAGGACCCTCTGCAAACTTCAACTCTCAACTGACCAAAACGGTTCTCATAACCACCCTAAAATGTAAGGAAACCGTGTGTGGGGGGGTGGTAATTGTCTTTTTGAACTCAAGAAGATGTAAACTTGGAGAAGAGAGTTGTGGCTATCTGTCCTGCAGAGGCAGCTCTGTTTCATTTCCTGTTCCCAGTGGTGGCTACATCTGCTCCCAGATACAGGTGGCCACAGTAAAAACTTTGGCACCCTCCAGGACTCACCTGCGGCTTGCTTTCCCTAGCCATGTATTACCAAGAACCAAGACCCATCAACTCTCACTGCAGATCTGCTGAGCCATCTGCTTCACACTCTCCCAAACCAGGCACTGTGCTGGCATAGACAGTGTCCTGCTTGCCAAACTACAGGCCCTCCCCTCCCCCGCCATCTCTCTTCCTAGTGGGTGCTCTTTCTGCACTACCCACGCAAAGTGATCCCATCTGCACACTGCAGTGGGTGAACCACAGTGCAGCCTGAGGCTCGGCCTGTCTCATCTTGGTTGATTCCAGCTCAGCAGGGCCTCTCCAGGGCTACAGGGCGAAGGCGTATGTGTAATCACACATTTTCAGTACGTACTCTAACAAAACACCCCCTTTATCATGAATATGTTTGTGTGCATGCATGTGTGTGCTGGTATGTGTGTAGAGATCAGAGGTCAACCTTGAGAGACTTTCCTCAGTCCCTGTCCATCTTTTTATAGAGGTTCTTTCCTTGGGACCTAGAATTCACTGTGTAAGCAAGTTGCCTCGACAACAAGCCCCAGGGATCATTCTGGTTCCTCTCCCCAGCACTAGGATTACATATAAGTGCTACCTGGTTAAATTTTTTACATGCATTCTGAAAACCAATCCAAATCCAAGTTCTGTGATTGATTGATTGCTCAGCAAACATGCTAGCTACTGTGTTATCTCACCATCTCCATTGTTCAACCCATTATTTATTAACAAAACACTCTTGATTTTATGAAGAGTGTATGTTCTTTGTTTCCCTCTGCTTCTGTCAAGAAACTGAAAACTATGGGATAATTTTCTTCCTTTGTTTCTCCCAAACCTAGAGCAACAGGCTTATCACATTACTTATAACTCTTAGTGCATCACCTGTAGGTGGTTTGCCTTCTAATCTCAGGCTTCGATATTAGTCAATATTCTCACTGCTGTGACAAAATATCTGATAATAGCAACTTATGGAAGAGCTTATTTTGGCTCGCATAGCAGTAGGAGTGTGAGATGGTAGGTCACTGTCCTAGTCATTGTTCTGTTGTTGTGAAGATACGCTGTGGCCAAGGCAGTTCTTATAAAAGAAAGCATTTAATTGTTGGTTTGTTACCATGTCAGAGCTTAGTCCTCAGGGAGGGTGACAGCACCCAGGCAGAAATGGAGAACTGAGAGCTCTACATCCTGATGCATAGGCAGAGAGAGAGAGAGAGAGAGAGAGAGAGAGAGAGAGAGAGAGAGAGAGAGAGAGAGAGAGAGAGAGAGAGAGAGAGAAAGACTGGGCTTGACATGAGTTTTTGAAACTTCAAAACCTACCTCCAGTGACACACTTCTTCCAACAAATCCATGCCTCCTGATCCTCCTAATCCTTTTAAATAGAGCTACTCCCTGGTGACCAAGCACTCAGATATCTGAGCCTTTGGGAGCCGTTCTTACTTTAACATCACAGTCATAGTGCATCCACAGTCAGGAAGCAGCAGAGAGCTGAGTGTTCAGCTCATTCTCTCCATTTCACTTCGTCTAGGGCCTCAGTCCATGGGATGGTTAGTTCCCTCCTCAGTTAATCCAAACTAGATTCCTTACAGACGTGCCCAAAGGTGATTCAAGATCCTGTCGGGTCAGTATTAACTATCACAATGTCACGTGTGGAGGCTTGCTCCCTCAAAGTCTTGGCAATAGATTTCAGTGAACAAAGCTTTTTTTCCCCCCCTCTTGAGAAAAGATTCAGGAGAAAGATAGCCACTTTCCAAAGCTGAATGCAAAGCATGTTCTTCTACAGTGGTGATTTTGTTCCAGAAGCTTTGGAAGGATCTTGAGTCCCTTTTGTCCTGTGGCAGTGTTGGTCCCTGGCTGAGTGTCCTCTTGGTTTTGTGTTTTAGTGGTGGAGTCTCTTGTTGTGCAGACTCCAGGCATCCCAGGGCACGGATCTGTGGGAAGTGACAGAAGGGTGTCGCCTGTTATTCCAGCCCAGAGACTTTTCTCTTTCCTCTATTTGCCCTGCTCCCGGGGGAAGGTGGAGTATCTGAAGCAAACTGCATAATGACCACACTGACCTTTATTCTCTTGTCTTCATTTTCAGTGTGACAGTGACAGCGACCAGGAAGAGAAGGTAAGATTCCACCCCCTCCGTTGCAAATACAATACATAAGGCCCTGTGTGTACCCGGGTGCGCTCCTCCTGGCACTTATTCCCTCCTGAAGGATGTCTTATTGTTCACACTGTGACATTTTCAATGATAAGATATACTGTGCCAAATATGTGACATCCTTCTCTTTGAAACATGCCCCTTCATGTCTCCTGTGTGTCACACCAAGTTTTCACTTCATGGATGATGACTTGTAGACCCCAAAACACTTTTAAAGAGGAATTGATTCTTTTCGGTTCATGGTGGAAAGATTCAACTTTCTCCTGTGTATTTATAATGTCATTTCTACCTCCCTGTGACTGACCTCTGTGTTTCCTCTTGCTTTCCCGTAGCTTCCTAATAGAAATGACAGTAGTGTGCCCCTAGGAATTTCCTCACAGGGCTATGTGAATGGGGCGGTCAAGGGGACTCTACTCTCTTCTGTGGGTTGGTGTTGGGGAAGGGGCATCTCCCTAGCAGGTACACCCTCTACCTGAAGGTTGAGGCCCAGCTCAGTGTACACAGCTCAACAAGGATGAAGAAGGAACCCAGGCTTTGAGCCTCCAGAAGATGGAATCCGGAACCAGTAAAGTAGGTTTTCTGTTGACTATAGCAAAAGGATTGTTGGGCATGCTTTTTCCTTTCTCGCTGTTGACATCCACCAACCAAGTGCCTTTCTATTTTCACTGATGACTTGTGTAATTTCAAAACTTACCTGAATCTCAGAATATATGTACTGTACAATACAAAAACAATCAGCCATTCCCCCCTTCCTCTGTTCCCTGTTCCGTGGATTTCACTACCTCTGTGCTGCCTGATCCTGCCCAGAATCCCACAGTTTATGTATAGTGATTGTTCCCTGTCCATCTCGGACTTTCTCCCTCCGCCTCCACAACAACCTCCAGGAGAGATCTGAAGGCTCCTGTTCTCCACCGTCATTAATTTGAATTCAGCATATGTAGCCGGTTATAAAACTCGAGACATCATCATCTGAGCAGGTCAAGCATATTCAGATGAAGACAAATGGTGCTTATTTGATTTCCTTAAAATCAGGAAATGAAAAAAGTGCTCCCTGGAGAAATCACGCTCTGCCTGACTTGGATGATAGACCAGCGCGTGTCCCTCAGATAAGAACAGGCTCTCGCCTGGAGGTTTTTATCTCTGAAGGACGGCCAGGACTGTCAGCTTGCTGACATGTGCATTATCCATGTCATTTTAAACAAAGTGACCTATGGAAGGGTGCGCCGTGCTGTGACATGGTAATGGGCTGTTGGATGACAGCGGAAGTACACACTGGGTAGGGGGCTGAGGGCTGTTCTTTTGTTTAACTGACAAGTTGAAGCTTCCTGCCTCCAGCCCCCAGAAGGAAATTTGAGCTTCTTGGAAGTAGAACCTTTGGGTATCTTAGGCAGCCAACATGAGTCAGAGATGGGTGTCAGCATGCACAGTGCAGTCGATGCGCTGAAGTAGCCCCAACGTCACATGGTCATATGGTCAAAGTAGCCATAGTTCTGTGGAGTGTCTCTGGCATCCAGGAAGGTGCTGAAACCCTTTGACCATTTTGGGAGCTCTACAGGCAGGCAAGAATTGTTCACATTTCTCAAAGACGGTGGCGGGAGGTTGAGTACCAATCTGGGAGGAGAGTAAGCAGGGAGGTCCAAGGGGGAGAAGCCGGTGGGAGGGCAAGGGCCATTAGACACATTCTTCTTGTGCACGGTACACCCCCTGCCCAGGCACCGGGCTGCATTTTGTTTGCACCTTGAAGACCATGCAAGCCCTTGTAACTGGGAGCCGCGCTTGGCACTCTCCCGTGCTCTCCCTGCCCTGCCTGGTGTTTCTCCAGGGGCTTCCCAGCAGGAGCCCAGGAGCTTCTAATTGCACCAGTGCCTGCCTGGCCCTCGTGTAGTTAAATCTGCCAGCCTCCTCCTTTTCCAGCTGAGACGGAATAGTGTTTGTCGCCGACCTGAACATCACCCTCCCTGCTTTGCAGGGGCCCTGTCAGCCTGCTCTCTGGCAGGGGCCTCTCCCTGTAGCCCCTGAGCCCACCAGGGCGCTTGCTGGCACCGCTTGGAGGATTCGAATACAAATATGAATTGCTAATAGTGAAGTAGATGCTCCTCAGCATCCTGGGGCCTCTTCAGCAAGTCCCACTGGGGATGCTGTTGTAGCCAAAAGTGAGACTTGCATGAGGGACCTGGTGGGAATTCTCTCCAGAAGACCTGTCATTCTTACTCCGTGGGGATCCACAGAACCGGCAGTCTAAAATTAGGGTACGGTATTTCACACAGCTGACTGAATTAAGATAAACTCTGCTTTCTTCTGATAGGAAGCTATAATTTATAAAATGATACCCTTACTAATTAATGGGAAAGGGCTGGGAAAGCAGAGCCTGTTCTCAAAGGCTGCAGATAGACTTGCATGTGGAAAGGATCTGATGAGCCGGCACTTGGAGCATCCTCAGCCACAGGAACGCATCTCATGTTAGTGACAGAGAACCTGGAAGGCTCCTGGGAAGGGAGAAATTGGGTGGGGAATTAAGTAGGCGGTGAACCCAGCATCTTGGATGTGGGATGTCTCTTCATTTGTCATTAGGAACAAGGAAGAGGCAGCACTTGGCCCCCCTTATTACCCAAATTAAGCAATTACACCAATCCCACACTGGAAAAGAATTGCTATCAGGAGAACAATGAGGCAACAATAGTATTCCTGCATACTCAGTCTATATTTTTCTTTGGTTTTCTCTTTTCTCTAACACTGGCAGCACCTGCACTATGTGGAGCAATACCCCTCATTTGGTTATGAAGTTAATGTCAAGATTGAAAGCCACAATCTCTCCACCTACCCCCCCCCCCCCCCTTTTTTATTTTTCTGTGTGAGCCATGGGGTGGCTGGTCAGAAGGAATCTCTAATCTTGTTTCTGGACCTGTCTTTTATTATTCTGTATGCGAGACGAGGCTTGGTATTGTAGTGCATCAGATGGGATGACACTGCCCCACCCATGTTCTTGATTGAAGGCTCCCCTGCCCAGGCTGTATTAGCTGCAGTTTGTCTTGTTTCCTAGGCTCTAGACTCAACCTTGGGAGGGAGCAAAGCTGTGCACTAGCTCAGATAGCTTGAGTTCTTTAAGAGACCCAGGCAGCTTCAGGGGAATCCAGGGCTCAGCTCTCATCCCCAAGGACACTTCCTGGAACAGACTGGATGGAAGCACTATGTTCTAAAAAGTCCCTAAAACCATATCTTTTTAACCAACTTAGCAAGCATATTGCTCATGCACACCAGAATAACGTGGGGTCATCTTAAAGTGAGCATTAAATAATAGATGATGCAGGTTTTGTCCTGTTGGCAGCTTCTCCGCGGTATCAGACCCTTCGTATTTACAGGGGAAAGTTTGTATTCATGCTTCAGGGTGCCAGATGTGTGTGTTTCTAAAGGTAATACTTAAAAAGCTTCCCAAGTAGTATTTTTCTCACTTTTTATTTGTTCTGCGAAAATTTCATACACTGTATATTTGTTGTTGTTGATTTGTTTGAGACAAGACCACACTGTGTAGCTAAGGCTGGCTTAGAGCTATGTTGACCGGGCTGGCCTTGAACTCACAGAAATCTGCATGCCTGCTTGCTTCTGCAAGGATTAAAGGTGTGTGCACCACCACATTCCAGCTCTCAGACAATCTATATTGATTATATTCCTCCTCCCAACTCCTCCCAGAAGCACCTCCTCCCTCTTCCCTACCCATCCAAGTTTATGTCCTTTTTAGGATTTTTTTCCAGGTTTTTTATTGCTATATCTATTCATTTTTAAGCTTTAATGCATCTTTAATTAATATTTAACTAATAATAAATCAGATTATATCAGTTTTCCCCCTTCCCTTTCTGCGCTCCAACACCCCTCTCCATGCTCTCCCTACTCTCGAGGCAATAGTTTAGCAACAAAACTGGGTCTGGAAATAAAGCTTAGTGGGTAGCACTAGTACTTAGCATGTCCGGAAGCCCTAAGTTCCATGCTCAGCATCATACAAGACAGGCAAAGTGCCTATAATCCCAGTTCTTGGAAGGTGGAAGCAAAAGAAACAGAAGTTCAAAGCCATCCTCAGTAACATCGTCAATTGGAGGCCATCCTGGGCAACTTGACATACCTTGTCTTCAAAAGCAAAGCAAAACAAATATTTTCTTTAATTTTTGTTCCTGGTCATGATGGTGTCACATATGTGGGAAGGGGTTAACTTAAAGCAAAGAAACCCAACTGTGGTTTATTTTCATAATACAGCAGAGACCACACACACACACACACACACACACACACACACACACACACACACACACAGTCCTATCACTTGATCGCTAGGCCATCCTCAGCACCTCAGCAACATTCCAGTGAGGCGGCCCTCACAGCTGTTTGTGGAGCCATCGTCCTTGGTTTAGCAGCCAACTAAGTCATGATCCAGGGGCTGCAGAGATGGCTCAGTGGGTTAAGAGCACTTGCTGCATAATCAGGAGGATCTGAGTTCAGATCCCAACACCCGTATAGAAATACAGATGTGGTCACCTGTGCTTTTAACTCCAGTGCTATGGGGGATGGAGACAGGAGGACCAGTGGGGCTTGCTGGCTGTGTGCCTAGCTCCAGGTCCAGTGAAAGAGACCCTATTTCAAGGGAATGAGCCTAGAGTGATAGAGAAATATACCAACATCCTCTTCTGGCCTCTGTGTTCCCATGGAAACACATCTGCACCCCCCCACACACACACACAAGGACACATACTGATTGAGACACAGCTGAGATATGCTGACCTGTGTTTCAGCCAGAATCTTCACTGTCTGGATTTCACAGGAGCAGAGCCACTGCCCCAAAGAGACCTGTGGTTCTTGTGTTTGTGGTTCTGCTCAGTGCTGGGCAGACATGAAGCAGTGGATATTTTGCTGGAGTTGCTTTTTCATCCCAGTGGGGAGAACATGTGAAGAGGCCTGGCACTCAAACCCTGGGTATT